ATATGTACCTCAACACAACAAAGAAAAACCTACATGGCAATGTTCACAAACAACAACTCGTACCCATTGCGGCTTGATAGATTTTCGACAAACAATAAATGTAGTTTTGAAATTATACGTTGCTTAACAAGCGAAAATTCTCTCCTTGGTGTAAAATCAGATGTCAAAGTCATAATTTCCAAAAAACAAATATAATGAACTGTATCGCACGCCTGTATGTAATGGCTGTTATACTAGAAAAAAACTCATTAATTTAAAATTAACAATTCATGTGCGATTAGTCATTTCTAAATGAGTTTATGGCTATTTATATTTCTAATTTAACTGACAGACAGTTACAATTATCAATCATTGTAAATGGCATAGTGCGCGTTCTATTATTATCTCTCTCTTAATCACAAAAGGGCTGATCATCGATCATAAAACCTGTATGACCTTTATACTTAAAAATTATTTGTGTGACCCACACTTTAATAAAACCTTAAAACATGTATATGTATGGCAATAAATCATATCTGGAATGATATTTTGAGATAAAACACATATCTCTGACAACAAACCAAGCACAGTTGTGAACAGTCTCCACGACTATATACTGTACACATGTATCTAAAGTCACTACTAATAAAGCTATAGGTAACGTTTGTATCTCAGAAATTCAAGTTTGTCACCTGGAAAAAAGAAACATATTTAAAGGCGCTTCGGACATTTGAACAAAAAAGTACTTATCGTTACAGGTAAGCTCGAATTTGAATGTGTCAGTTATAATGAATTACATCTATTGTTGACGGTTATATAATTTTCAAAGTGTGTTGGTGGGGCCAAAGTCTGTATGTAATTCAGATATGTGTTTTTATTAACGGGGCTAACCATTTATAAAAATAGTAACAAAATACTATCATGAAGATACCATTATTTGTGGATATAGACAGAAACAATGCTATGAAAGGAAATTTGTACGCAATTTGTCTAACAACTGTTATGCTTTTCTTCAATTAAAAAGTGTCATCGGACTTCATACATTTTCGGTTATTTTTTTTTTATCAATGTGTGTTTGTGACTTTTTTTCATAACAGCAATGACCGACGTTGAATCGCTGAGTGTTATTAACGACTTTGGACGATTTCAGAAAAGCCAGTTTCTATTATTCTGTCTTGGATTGTTTCCGACTATGTGGTTTACTATGGGAAATACATTTTATAGTGCATCAGTCGAACACTATTGCAGAGTGGCTTATAATCAAACATTCGTTGAAAACTCACAGCTGAAGAACTGTACCATACCTTATAATTATGTGAATGGTGGTTTGAAATGGGATTCGTGTAGAATGTATGACATTAATATTATTAATTCAAACGTATCAAGCTATGATAATGTTGGAGATGTTTCCCAGACATGTCAATCATCCACCATTACACGTACATGTAATCGTGGCTGGGTTTATGATAGAAGATTCTTAAACAACACCGTTGTCATAGAGGTAAGGACATGGTAATATAATATGAGGTTATTACGAGGATAACTCAAAGTATGTACGAAGACGGCGCAGCAAAGGTCGATGCGACGGTGTGCTGTGTGAGTTCGCAGAATACATAATTGAAATGCCGAAATCCAAAATGTGTAAAACAGAATCAGGAGTCCGGTCAAACCCTGGTGGCAGGCATGTTTGTTTTTATTATTAGAGGACGCTCACGCGCGTAATCATTCCATGTTTCGAATTTCCATCTCCTAATATGGTAGGATAAAAATATGCCGTAAAATACCGCAAAATTACGGCACGCTGTAACTTATGGCGTTACGATGACAGATGTATAATAATATAAGTTATTGTCTAATAACATGACAGATAGAAGTTATAGCAATTATCTAAGAGCTCAATCTGCAGTTACGTTTGCAGCATGTTAATAGGGTTGACGAGAGTGGTTGTAGTGTTAGTGTGTTCCGTGCTGAAGTTCATGTTGCGGATCCAATGGGTCGATTAACCGAATTTTATAGTTTTTTTTTTAAATTAAACTGTGTTATCACATGAATTGCAAATCCTAAAAGTGCAGTAGACTCGATCTCATTGCTAAAAGTCGTCATAGAACAGTACTTCTGTTCTGCTAATATGTCATCTCACAACAGAGGGTTTTCGCTCTAACACATCTAAAGCATGTTTAATATGATAATTGTGTTCGTTTTATTACGAAGTCATACAATTGAATGAGTCGGAAATACACACGCTTACTTTACATTCAATCTACTGTGACTATATAAACACAGTTTAAATGCATTCGCGCTGCCAAAGTTTCTCTCAGTTGGCCCCTTTTTTACTGCCTATTTCATTGATTGCCAATTTCTGTGCAGAACTCTCCCAAAAATTTAAGAAAGATTCGTTCGCATTTTCTAAAATTCATTGTAAAGAGAAAGAGTCATTCCAGTTCCACCGCAAGCGATGGAGCCACTCTCCGGGGGACGGACATCCGGACATTTGCACCGCATGGCAACCATCAGAAAACAAAGGCCGAAAACTCTCAGAAAACGGATGGTTGTTGAGACTCCCCTGAACAGTGTAACAAGATTACCCTGCGTGTGCACCGCATATAAATTTGATTGTTCAGGATTACTTCGATGTTGAGTTCCTGTTGTTTTCTCGAATTTTCAGCGGCTCTTCGCTCGGCGTTCCGAGTTCCTCGGCAGCGCGCACAGAGCCCATAGAAATGGTACAGTGGTGCGCGTCTTAGCAACGTGGAACGTCTTGTAACGTAGCTCCGCCCCTTACTTATGTTGATCAAAACCATTACTCACTTCATGTTCTTACCTAAATACTTTACATACTTTTTTATTTTGTTTAATTTATCCAAATATTTTTTATATACTCACGTGTCAATTCAGTTTTATGTAGCTCACAAACAATAACCTGCATTATTACAGCCCGGCATCACTGTGACATTTCTTGTGATATTGTTTTCCTATTGCGTTCAGAAGTTGGGATTACTTTTTCTAGTGACACAACTGTTTACTTGTTTTTATATATTTATTGTTGTATACGAATTCATATAAAAATATATAGTAACAATTGTATGTTTTAATATAAGACAGTTACTTTGCTACATTTTCGTAATTTGAAATCCTACTGGAATATTATCTGTTAACACTTCTTCATTAGATAGTAAATAATTGTACGTCATTTTATACTTACTCCTCATTTTCTGCGATATTTTAATTTTTTTCGCATAATGCGATAGTAATTTATTTGCCCTGTGCACATTTCTTGTATTCAGTTTTATTGAGACATATTGAGGATATTTCACATAAATCAATGTAGCTGCCATTTAATTTACTTATATTTAACAGTTTGATTTGGTGTGCAAGAGAGATTCCATGAAACAACTATCGAAGTCCGTAAGCGGCTTAGGGGAAGTTATTGGTAGCTTATTTTTTGGACAATTTGCTGACATGTAAGTATACATTAAATGGCGGTGGTCGTCGCGTTGTATACGTCGATATGGGTCGTTATTACGACCACCGTCCGATAGGTGATGATAGATCATTCAAAATATAATACATTTGTTTAATACACGTACGAGCGTGTATGCACCTATATTCACGCTCATAATATCACATTCATCGCTTGTACATATCTAATTTTATGTGAGTGTATGTCTTTCAAGTTGCAAGATATTTCTGATATGTTTATTTGTTATTTATTACATCCAGGTATGGTAGAAAGCCAGTATTATATATCACTTCAATACTTTCGCTTATATTCAGTATTGCTACAGCGTTTGCCCCATCATTTGTTATCTTTATAATAGGAACGTTTTTGTCAACAGCGTCAGCGTCAGCCGTTTTTCTGGTCATTTTTGTACTTGGTAAGTATATATCTCTTTCAATTCAACTAACGTAAAATTAATGCTCATTACCCGATAACGCAAACATTGATATTTCACTATTATAGTACATCATTAAAAAAACAATTACACATGGATTGGGCCTTATTACGACAAAACCTCTAATGCTGTAATTACAGACCATTTTTCCATGTTCAGTGACCGTGTTTTTAAGTGCATTATTTTCACTTTAAGTTTCACGACAATCGTTAAGTTCACGAATTGATTCACCTTACAAGTGCCATAAAATATATATATCTATGAACCTTTTATTGCAATTTTATTGCTGATATTGTGATGGTGACGTCACATAATGAAATTCTCGTACTCCCCCTCATTTTCCAAAAGAATTTGCTATATTGGGCCTTAACATTCCTGATTCTGCATAATGATCGATTCATGTATACTCATCTTCTAAATCGAAATATTATATATCCCGAAATCCAGTGACCAACATTGCGTCCCATTAAACTCAATGGGCAGATTGTCTTTGATACATCGCCCTCTGTGAGCTATTTTTTTGTTTGCCACTTAGCACAAATAATTATGTTAAGGGATTTATATCCTCGGGGGCGGACATCCGGGCATTTTCACCGCCTGACAACCCGCCGCGGTGAAAACAAAGGCCAAAAACTCGCAGAAAACGGTACTTTGGGATGATTGTTGAGCCTCCTCTGAACAGTGTAACAAGATTAGCCCTGCGTGTGTAACATATATAAATTTGGTTGTTCGGTATTACTTCAAAGTTGAGTTTGTGTTGTTTTCTCGAATTTTCACCGGCTCGACCGGCGTTCCACAGCAGCGCGCACAGAGCCCATAGAAATGCATGTACAGTGGTGCGCGTCGTAGCAATGTGGAACGTCTTGTGACGTAGCTCCGCCCGCTATACAAAACAATTATGAAAACAAAAATATTTGACTTAAGATAACAAATCAGACGAGAAGAAGAAGACTTAATTCATATAAATTCAAGCACTAGAGCATTGTGATTGGTTGAGAAGCATTAGCTGGGTTTTACCATATGTTGCAGTCGCCCCAGACTTTTTACGTAAATTACCATTCCAATAATATATTATTCAGTCAGACGAATGGTCTGTAACGACTGTTGTCTTGTTTAAAATTTATAGCAATGGAAGCAACTCCTTCATCACGTAGACCTTTCATAGCCCTTGGGTGTTCATTGTCCCTTGGAATAGCACAAAACTCCATAGGATTAACTGCTTACATGGTTAATGGTAATTGGAGAGTTCTTCAATTTATAAGTGGCGCATTATGCCTACTATACATACCGCATTTTTGGTAAGTTAAAAATAAATGTTAATAATTACCTAATTAATTAATTGTTTTAGGGAAACGTCCAAGTTATGATTCACTATATTAGTTTTGTAGAATAAGTCATTGCAAATTAAAACTTCGAAATTTAACCTCTGTATTCAGATGTGGCAAATGAATTATTTAAACTCGCGTTTCCGCATTTTAAAACACGCTGATTTGTATTAAGTTCATTCAGGATGTTTGTACGGGTTCGCTCAAAGGTCAAAGGCAGTGTTTTATATATTTTTTTTCAGTGATTATTTATTCGATTGACTATTATATGCAAACGTGCGCTGTATGCGGTTTCCGAAGTGTTAGCGACCGGTAGATGTTTTATTAAATACAAATTCATTATATATATTTTTACATAATGTTAACATCAATACCAAAAAGTAAATGTGATTTTTAATACTCAAAATACGCGACCCGAGACTCATCATTGAGAAAGTGTCATTGCCGTGATGACCTATTCGTGTAGGTCGGGTTTTCAGGTTGTTGATGCATTTAAAATCATTTTCTGTTTCGTATACATTCCAGGAACCACAACAAATCATAATTTTAATTTGTAAACTTTTGTAGGTTTTTAGAAGAGTCTGTTCGTTGGCTTTTACAGGGCTATGAAATTAGCAAAGTGAAAGACATTTTAAATAAAGCTGACGCAATTAATGGAAAGATATTGACCGAAGAAATGAATGATGCTAGTTGCATTTCGTTGGTAGTTGAGGTATGTTGGAACGTCTGGAAAGTACATGTTTATACTCACTGCACCCTTCGCGCATTATGAAGCGTTTATGTTAACACACAAGTGTCGGTTGGGACGATGTTTGTTCTTATACTATTGGCTGTATCGATGAATTCAGTAGTGAATATTTAAACATGAAACTAGTCGCTTAATTTATAAATAATATTTGCCATTGTTATTGATTTGTATAAATTACAACATATATATATATACACTATCAGGTGGAACGACAATCGGTATTAACACTGTTCAAGACACCTGTTATCCGACAACGGATTATAATTATATCATTATGTTGGTGAGTATAATAAGAAAAACAAGAATATATCTATATAGTAATTTTATGTGATCTGAATAATTAAAATAGTAATGAAAAGTTAGTAATTACGTAATGTTTAAGACGTACATCGACGCTTGGTTTTGCCTCCGCTGACAGGATCGTGCTACACAGTGGTTATGCAAATCAGGAATGAACAAGCTGCACAAACGTTCCATTTACATACAAGACAAAATAATTATGACATTATTCTGTTTTAACCCTACAAGTAATGTATCGCTTTACAAAATGCGAATACCAACAACCAGAAAACTATTAAGGAAAGAGTTGTCAATTTATGGGTACGATAAGAAACTTAATTTTTTGTGTATGTTTTCATAACCTTTTATACAAATGTGTGCTTATAGTGCACGTTGGTGCGTTCTACGTTTCATATATATATTATGCCAATGTCGAACAATGTATTATGAATAAAATTACGTTTACCGGCCCGACATACCAACTTGTGTACATACTGATCAAACAATAGTCAGAAAATCGTAAAGGTAATTTACAAATGGGTATGTACAATTTCATATTGAACAGAAATAAATTGGAAAATAGACGCACATTAACTCATTGTTGACCATGACCATGGTAATATAATATAAATGTGTGTACGGATGTTGTACATTTCAGGTTCGCAGTGGGATTGGCGTACTATGGTATATCTCTGAACTCCAACTTTTTTGCTAAGAATCCTTACATCATTTTCATGTTTACTGCTGCAGTTGAATTACCTGCTGCGTTACTGAACTGGTGGTTACTGCAACATTACCCGCGTCGGTTGACACAAAGTATATCACTGGCGCTTTCCGGAGCAGTTCTACTGATTGGTGGCATCTCTGGTAAATATAATTAAACAAATACAGTAAAATGTACACATGAGTAGCAGTGAATATACCATACAGCATTCAGTGAAATTTACGTCTCGCATTTAATGTCTATTTCTAATTACTTACAATGATTTACTTATACTATAATAATAACCTTATATAATTTACTTATATATTAAATTAATACTTATCATTTATTAATATAGTATTGTATTGTATGTTATACTATACAAAAGCTGTTTATTAGGAAATGTTAAAAAATGAGGAGAAATTGTTTTAATTGATGACAATACCATCATTTATATATCATATTATAGTGTCTTGGTTTTGTTTGTATGCCCATTATTTCTCACGCTGTTTGTCTAGACAGGTCACTGTGTTGAACACAGTGAATTCAGGCTTCACTATGCTTAGTAAAGATTTATTCCTTCTCGATTAAACTTAGACGTTGTGCACCATACCTACATTCCTAAAGACCTGTGACATAATCAGGCAAGGTGAAAATCAAATACACACTATTGTGGTTTACAGTGTCGCGGTAATTTGGCTTTGAAGAACAATACATTATACGACCCAGTAATATGAATATATTGATCAATTTTGTTGCGATTAAAATTTTGTTACATTTTTCAATTTACATTACCATTTTGTTTGCAGGTATCGATTGGTTACGTATCTGTTCAGTAGTGCTTTCAAAGTTTTTCGCTAAACTCAGCATTGGTACAGTTTATATTTATACCGCCGAACTGTTTCCTACACCAGTCAGGTATGCATCACACAATTTTATAATTGCAATTTCATATGCAATAATACTAGATCCAATTATTTTCTTTTATGATCAAATAACGAATAACTAATTTAAAATGGTATGTGGTGATAATGTTTTTGTTATTAGTTGTATTTTAATATTTATCAAAATAAAATAAAAAGCAATATCTTTCGATAAATGTCTGAGTGAAAAAGGAAACACTATTAAAACGGTCCAAATTGTATGCCCTAGCTAGTTCTTTATGTGTATCTTCGTTCTTTGCATGGTATTTCTAACGTATGATGTTGTTTTCTGACCTATGCATGCTGATTTTGTTTCTAGGAGTGCCGCTGTTGGGATTGGTCAAGTATTCAGTTTAATTGGTGCGATTATCGTACCTTTTATTATGCTTTTAGATTATGCATGGTACCTCGCACCAATCGCAATCATGGGCGTTCCATGTATTATATCAGGGCTGCTAATTCGTTTGTATCTTCCCGATACAAAGAACAAACCCTCACCTGATACAGTTGAAGAAATAGAGCACCCATACAAGTATGTTAATAAATTACATTATAAATTAGCTGTTTTCGTCATTTAATCACAAGGGCATATTTAAAATCGCATATAGGCTGTATTTTGCATTATCCCTTTGTACAGTTGCAATACCACAGTGGTGGCGATGGCACCAAATAAGTTGTTATTATTATTATATGAACAACTCAATTTTATGGCATTCTATATGTAATACATTATATACGATCGTGTGCTACCTTTTCCGCAACACTAAATCCAAACAATATCAGTTTGCAGCAATCTTTACTACTTTTAGTAATACACTTTACAGTTCAATGAAATAATCATCAAATAATCAACGCTAAATGTATAGTTACCAAAATTACGTCTTTTTTATTCCATCCACTACACATTTAGACTAATTAAACATTTGTTGCACCCGCTTACAACGTTGTAAACTTATTTATTTAACATTAACTACTTTAAACTGTAATCGTGTGTCAAAGTGAAGTGTATATTCGGCTCCAATCCTCGCCTAAGATACTAAAATAATCAACAACGAGTGCGTTTTCTGAAGGAAACGAACCGTGATTTTCAGCATTGCTTCATATTATTATTATATTTCATTCAAGCTTGACCACTATGGTTTCTTGTTGATATAGTTGCAAAGGTGGTGACAAGACGTGTCATACATAATAATTCAAAGACGAGTTTGCTAAAATCAATTTTACTCGGACACTACCACAAATAGTTGTATTAGCTGTGAATTACTTATAATTATTTCATATGCTAAAGTTGTTGACATACATTTGTTGAGTTTATAGTTATCTTCCAATCCCACACATACATACACTCGAATCTTGAATCAGTTGCCCAACGATAAATTTCAATTGAATTGTGAGCATTTTAATTAGACAACTCATATTACTGTCAGATAAGTTGGGCATTCTATCGTATTCTATTACCTAAATATTCATTCAGACGATTCAACTGATATTTGAAATATGTTTGTTAATTCCACCATAGGGAATTTAAATCCTCAAAATGTGATGAAGAGGACTTGTATCTCATGAAGGATGTGAAACAAGAATATAACAATTAATGATGTATGGTGGAATGCATGTGCAAATGTGTTGTGAAAATGTGTTTTCTAAAGTCATCAATGTAATTGTTTAAAGGTATTCAGGGGTAGTTACAGAGTAGTTTTTCTGAGAAAATATCAATGTTGGAAATAAATCAAAAGTAAGTATATTTACATGATAAACACATGATACATATGAACTAGGTATTAGTAATTTCCACTCTTGAAATTATTTGGACTAAACCTGTCGAAAACATTATTTTGCGTGGACTGTCATTGTTTCAAGTTAACATGTTAAATGATCTGATAAATAAGTAACGCTAATAGCATATCTACTGGTATTCTCGCACTATCAAAAATACTATAAATATAAAATATTGTAAAGAATAAGTTATGAAGTATGTCAGCATCCTTTATTCTGTGTTTTTGTCATATTACCTCAAACACTGAAAAGTGTGCATGGAATCATAAAAAATCAAAAAAAAAATAGTGTGAATTGCCGTGTGATAACTGTCATAAAGGTGATTGACAGGTCATTCTTTTTTTTCAACTCTCGGGGGACAGTTAGAATCTACCAGGTATATACTTGCGATTTACATGACAACGAGTGTTAAAACTCTTACAACTATGCTCTGCTGACTTGCCTACGTAAGACAGCTCATGTACAAACCTAATTGGTGTCTCTGAATTTGGGCCATTTATACCTATAAATAAGCTAGACTGAGGACAGAATACCAGCGTTCCTCTGCAAGCAAGAATCCTACATTTCTTCATTGTTGTGTTGTAAAAGCCATTGACTGTCATCCATTTCCATACACCCTGGAACTGCCAGTTATCACCAATGCACACTTCCCTAGGAAATCCCCTATTATAGAAAAATTAATTTATTGTATTTTTTCGGTGCTTTGTTTCTTTGAATTTGTAATTTTGAGAGGTATTAAAGCCAGGAGCTTTAACTTGATGTTTTGGTGTATGTGTATTTCATTTTTAGTACTATTGCCCCATTCTAGCAGTGATATAGCCCCATGTTCAGAGTGAGTTCTGTGGGTGCCCTTCTCAATGGCACAAAACAGGCCTTACACTATGACAAAGTATTATAAGTATTCGACAGACATTGCAGTGTTATTCACAGAGTCGATATTGGATTTAAGCAAACCAGAGTTGCTTAGAATCGAAAATAGAAAAGACAGCAGTTCTGTCAATTGGATTATTTTGTATTAACAATCAGTCTGTTAGAATACCAATACATATTTAAATCGTATCATTTTGATAAAATTAAGATGCACATTTCTGTTGATATTTTAGTGTTTTGCTGGCTGATTTCAGAAAACATTTTCTTCTATTGGAAATAGCTATTGTTTATATCTTATGATACATGTTTAATCCTCATTCACATCAACTTTACCTTGTTGTAGTTATGTTTGAAAAACTTTAATAGCAATTAAGTGGTACATTATACAATGTGTAAATAAAAACGTGTTCACTTCGGTATAAGAGGTGAGAAAATGCGATTTATTTGATAGAAAAGAACAAATACATGACAGTACAAGAACAAATGACGATTAATAAAAGTAAATAAAACACAAACAAGACCCGCAAAAAAATATGTTGCCTCCGTAAGTTGCTTTGTTTGTGTGTGTTATAATTTACATTATTTTTGTAATGATCGCACCACTTCCATACGTCATACTAAAGCTGTTTGCTTAGAAGTTCTACTCAACAGGCAACCCCACCAGAGGAATGTTAACCGGATCCTATGCTAGCACTGGAACCTCGAATAGATAGTCAGACCAATAAACATGACTTATTGTTAAATTTAGTAAAACATGGCATATCCCACAGGAAATCCAGTCAGTTGACCACACCCTCAGAGTTACTAACTCAACACCTGATTCAATGTTGCTAAAACGACATGTGCCAAGTTCGCCCGATAACACCAGCATTAATGGAAAATAACCATGAGAAAACTTCAATAGCACACAACCCAGCCAAACCATCTCACCCACACTCATCTAGTGTATCACTGGACCCATACCACCAGCTTCTTGTGGATATTAAGGGCAAATTTGTAGATTTGCACTTACAATATGATGAAGTATTCAACCCTGTGATATCTAAGTATAACGGGCTAGTGGAAAGATTGAAGCAGTGGTAAATAGGGGCCCAGTCCTACCCCCACAAAGAAAGGGCAAACTTCTTCATTATAATCGTTCTACAATGATTGAATTACAAAGTAAATTTGATAAGCTTGAATCTGCAGGCGTATTCGTTAAACCAGAACAAGTGAATGCTACAGTAGAATACCTCAACCTGTCATTCTTAGTAAAAAAAACGAATGGTGGAAGCCGATTAGTAACATCAATCAGTGAAGTTGCCCAATACAGTAAGCCTCAACCATCTTTAATGCCAAGTGTGGATAATGTATTACGTGACATTGCCGGATGGAAGTACATTATTAAAACAGATTTGAATCAGGCCTATTATCAAATCCCGCGAGCATCAAAGTCCATGAAATATTGTGGAGTGGCGACTCCATTTAAAGGAGTCAGGGTATATACACGCTGTGCTATGGGTATGCCAGGATCCGAAAACGAAGAAGTTATGTGCAGAGTTGTAGGCGATCTTCTCCAAGAAGGCTGTGCTTCAAAAATAGTCGCACACTTGAAGCATTGCACAATAATAATCTACACCTATCAGCTAGAAAGACCACAGAGTGTCCCAAATCTACAAATATTTTGGGTTGAATTTGGTCAAATGGCACAATCAAAGCTAGCCCACACAAAATTGCTACCCTCTCGTCAATTGAACCACCTAACAATGTCTCAGATCTGAGATCATTTATTGAAGCATACAAAGTCCTCAGCCGTGTCCTTAAAGGTTATGCTGATCTCATTGATCCTTTGTCCAACAGCTGGACAACAATCAGCTAGCAAACTCAACTGGTCTGAGAACCTAATATACTCATTTAAAACTGCTCAACATGCGCTACAAAATTGTCGAGAGATTACAGTACCTGAGCCTAATGACCAATTGTGGATAATCACAGATGCATCCGGGAAAAACAAAGGAATTGCTTCTACATTGTACTCCTCTCAACAAAATGGCAAAATACATCCATCAGGTTTTTAATGCAAAATTGAAGAAGCATCAAATTGCATGGTTGCCCTGTGAAGTAGAAGCTTTGTTTATATGGGCAGCAGTAAAGCACTTTGCTCCTTATATAATACAATCAAAACATAAAACACAGCTTTTGACCGATAGTCGACTTTGTGTCCAGGCTTACGAGAAATTGAGACGGAGTGAGTTCTCGGCTAGTTCCAGAGTTACTACATTCTTGTCCACATTGTGCCGCTATATGATAGATGTTCAGCACATAGCAGGAGTCTCAAATGTACCTACTGACTTTGCAAGTTGACATCCCTCAGAATGTTTGGACCAATATTGCCAAATTTGTAAGTTTGTTGAAGAGTTGTGCAGTTAGTAATCTGACTGTAAGTGGCGTTATTGAAGGATCGGTAAAGATGCCTTTCACAAGTCGTGCGGCCTGGCTGGCCACTCAGCAAGAGTGTTCCAGCCATAGACGTACTCATTCACATCTTATCCAAAGCACTAGACCCTCAAACAAATTGGTTAAAATTAAAGACATATTGGTAAAACGACATGATCATTTGTGCCAAGTTCGCCCGATAACACCAGCATTAATGTAAAATACCCATGAGACAACTTCAATAGCACACAGCCCAGCCAAACCATCTTACCCACACTCATCTAGTGTTTCACGGGACCCAGACCACCAGCTTCCTGTGGATATTAAGGGCAAAAAGTGTTCTAGCCTTAGACGTACTCATTCACATCTTATCCAAAGCACTAGACCCTCAAACAAATTGGTTAAAATTAAAGACGTAAAACGCTACCTGGCAGATGTCACTGACCAATGATGGGCTTCTTTTAGAGAGAGATACACAAACTTTCCAGCGAGATCGAGAAGCATGATGATGTTTGAAATGTCATAGTGGCTTTCAGTGCTGAGGTTAAATCTTTGGGTGCTGCGGATATCCTCATCCGTATAGACTCTGGCCCGGGTTTGATTAATTAAGAATAAATTACATTTTCATGTTATTATTCTAATTACAGCCAGGTGATGCGATATACATTATAAATCTGTGATGTCTTCAATATCTGCTCACTCTTCAATAAAAATTACAACTTTGCGATTTTCTGTCTTTATGCTACATATGAAATAAATACTGTGACATAAATTGTAAGTGAAAAGTAGAAAAGTGTGTGAATGAAAAGCAAAATGTTTGGATACATTACAACAACCCATTGTACATGTTTATTTTTAGACTGCTGTTACAGTCACTGGATTGTATTGTCATCAGAATTTGAGATACATACACCCTGTCTCTTCCTGTGGCTTAATGATATGTCTCAGACAGTCCATGGTAATTGTGAATTACCTTGGATTATGCTGAGCCTAGCGTTGTTGGCAATGAAAATACATATGACATCATTGATCCGAGTTTCCTACTTTAAATTGGTAGAGCCTCGATAAAAAGTGGTTTATTACACTACCGAAATTGGCATCCACTATACACTGATTTGTCCGCTATTTCGAGATAACTAGTCATTGGATACATTTTATTATTTGCATGGCCATAATTACTTGTTACCTAGTATTCAGATTAAGACAAGTGTGAAACTCTTTAGTCAGGAAGGTGACCTGACTTGATCCTGTAACATCCTATAATGCTGATTCCTTATACAGGGGTACATATGCAGACGTTCTTTGTAGTAATCCCTACTGATCAAAAAGGACCACTGACGCTCACTGCCCGAATGGCTCCCGTTGTACCGGTGCTACTAGTAGCAGCAGATAGCAGTGCAGTTGCCGATACTTCCTGGACACAGAGCACGAGTTTAAATTGTAGTGCAGCTGCTTCGACAGTGTACCAGACACGAAGGAATGCAACACTGTACATTTCTGCTCACCGGAGATTGGAATGTTCCCTGCATCATCG